AACACTGTACAGCTTGCCCACAACCCTGTGTTACACTCCAGGATAAAACACATGGAGATTGATCTCTTTTTTGTGAGGGAGAAAGTTCAGTCCAAGCAGATTGAAGTGTTCCATATTCCTGCTTCCCAACAAATTGCTGATATTCTGACAAAGGCTTTATCTGCATCTTCTTTTCTTGAGTTAAAATCCAAACTTAGTGTGATTGACCGACCTTCCAAATCAATCACCCTAAGTTTGAGGGGGGAATGTTAGGAATATAAAATAATGTTACATACGTTTATTGTAAATAGCTTGGAACCTTCTAGATATACCTTAGGCTGTTAGTGCTGTTATACAGGCTGTTAGAGTTAGTTACTTGTATTCTACTATAAATACTTGTATTGACTCTTGTAATCATAATAATTGAAATCTCCTACTTTTCATCTGAGTTCGTTTTCTAATACCTGATGAGTGACAATTGGCGATGTGGATGAATTCTGAGCCAAACCCAATCACCTGGGGTGAATGACAAATCCCGATGGCCCTTATCGTATTGGAGTTTCATACGTTGTTGAGCTTGGAGCAATCTGGTCTTGGCTATGGTGAGGATGGAGTCGCGGTCAATGAGCGCTTGGTCCACTGCGTCGAGCTTGGCAGTGCCAGGTGTGTAAGAAAGTAGCTTGGGCGGGTCACGACCATACACTAACCTGAAAGGAGTATCACCTAAAGATGTATGGAAAGATGTGTTGTAGCAATACTCCGCCCATGGAAGCCAACGAACCCAATCTCGTGGACAGTCGCCGGTAGTACAACGGAGGAACATTTCCAAGGTGCGATTCACCACCTCAGTTTGACCATCTGTTTGAGGGTGGTAAGCTGAAGAAAATCGAAGTTGGGATTCACAAAGACGGAATAACTCACGCCAAAAGGAGCTCACAAACACTATCGCGGTCAGAGACAATTGATTCCGGCATGCCATGGAGGCGAAAAATTTCAGAGAAGAAGACTGCTGCCACTGAAACAGCCGTAAATGGATGTGCTAGTGCAATGAAATGAGCAGCCTTAGATAACCGATCAACAACCACAAAAACAACTGATTTTCCCCGAACCTTGGGCAATCCCTCGATGAAGTCCATGGAGATATCTGCCCAAATGTGATGAGGAATGGGCAGGCTGGAGGTTCAGCCATTTGTGTTGTTGACACACTTGGCAATCCCGCACATGGTCAGTGATGGTCTTTTTCATGCCAGGCCAATAAAATTCGCGACGCACCCTCTGTAATGTCTTAGCACTGCCTTCATGGGCCATGGAGTGGAACAAATTGACTATAGTTGGAATTGCAGCAAAAGATGGCAGTAAGTACACTTTATGTTGGAAAAACAGCAACCCCTCTCGATATGCCCACTCGGTTCCCAAGGCACCTTCGTCAAGCTGGCGTCGAAGAGCTCCAATTTCGGACGAGGAAGCTTGTTCCTTACGGATATCCTCAAGCAAAGTTGTATAAGGAATGGACAACGCTGCTAGGTGAGGCTGAGACTCATCACGGCGAGATAAGGCATCAGCAACCATGTTGTACCGACCAGGTTTGTATTCTACCCGGAAATTATACCCCATCAACTTACTGAGCCAATGTTGTTGGGGAGAAGTCGTTAAGCGTTGCTCCAGTAAGTGTTTCAAGCTAGAATGATCGGTACGAATTAAAAATTCTTGCCCCCAGAGGTACGGTCGCCAATGGGTTACTGCCTTGGCCAACCCGATCAATTCCCGCTCGTATGCGGCTAATTTGATATGACGATCTGCTATTTTGCGGCTGAAATACGCGACAGGATGACCCTCTTGTTGCAAAACTGCCCCAAAGCCACTCCCTGAGGCATCACATTCAATGACAAATGGAATTGAAAAGTTGGGCAGTTGAAGTACAGGAGCTGTGGCCAAGCAATGTTTAAGTTGGTTAAAGGCAACAGTGGCCTCCTCATTCCAATGGAATGAATGTTTCTTTAAGAGTTGCGTGAGTGGCAAGGCAACCTCCCCATAATTTTTGATAAATTTACGGTAGTAGCCAGCCAGGCCTAGAAACCCACGCAAGGCCGTTAGTGTCCCTGGCAGAGGCCACTCTTGGATGGCTTTAACTTTCTCCTGGTCAACCTTGACGCCTTTTTCGTGAATGATGTGACCCAAATACTGCACACTATCAGTTCCAAAATAGCATTTGGAGCGTTTAAGAAATAGCCAATGTGCTCGGAGGATATCAAAAACTAAGCGGACATGATGGATATGCTCCACCCAGCTCTTACTATAGATGAAGATATCGTCGAAGAAGACCAGAACAAACTTCCGGAGATAAGGGCCAAAGATGTCATTCATTAGGCATTGAAAGGTGGATGGGGCATTAGTGAGGCCAAAGGGCATGACCAAGAATTCAAAATGACCATGGTGTGTGCGGAAAGCTGTTTTGGGAATGTCCTCCTGGGCCATTCGAATCTGGTGGTAGCCAGACCGGAGATCCAACTTCGTAAAAACTTTTGCCCCATGGAGCTCATCCAACAATTCATCGATCACCGGAATTGGGTATTTATCCTTCACTGTTTTACTGTTCAACTCTCTGTAGTTGACACAGAAACGCCACGAGTCATCATGCTTCTTAACCAAGAGCACTGGAGAAGAGAATGACGAATGACTAGGTTGAATGATCCCTTGTTCTAACATTGCAGCACATTGTCGCTCAATCTCATCCTTTTGGAAGTATGGATAACGGTAGGGGCGTACCACAACCGGGCCACAACCAGGAACTAAAGTTATGCGATGATCGCATGGCCGTGGAGGTGGCAGACCGCGCGGTTCCTGGAATAAATCCTGGAAGTTGCAGAGAATACCTTCTAGGGGTGAATGCTCATGTGAAGTGGGAAGTGCCATGTTTGCTGGTTTGCAGTATGGCGTTGGTTTGCCCTGCCATATGACAGTTGCACCCATCCACTGAAATTGCATAGACAGATTGTGAAAATTCCATACGATCGCGCCTAAGCCTCGTAACCACTGGACCCCCAAAATCATATCAAAACCAGCCATGGAAGAACATAAAAATCAGCATGGAAGGGAACTCCCAAAACCTCAAAAGTTAACTGAGGACAGCTACCCAAAATAGGGACCTTTTCGCCATTTGCCACCACCACAAATAAAGAATTGTCTGTGGGTGAACTATACTCGAGTCCTTGAGCCAATCGTGCATGCACAAAATTATGCGTGCTCCCAGAGTCGACTAGAATCAGAACTGGTTTACCTCGTAAGGAAGCTGTAATTTGCATTGTTGTGGGTGAGCAGGAACCTGACATGGCATTGAGGGACAAGGCAAAGTCAGAATCGATTGTTTCATCGCCTTCGTCATCCCAGATTTCCAAGGCAAAAAGCTGCTTGCAACGATGACCTCGAACATAACGTTCATCACAATGATAGCAAAGACCTTTGGCTTGGCGACCGGCTGCCTCCGCTCTGGAAATCCGACGACGCCAAGTGGGAGGCTGCTGTGAGTCCTCAATGGTCTGCTTTGGATTTGAAGCAATCAGACTGGTTTGTGATGCGATAGGCATAGGGGATTGTCTTGGTTGAGGTCGTGTGACTGGGAGTAGTGCCACAGATTGTTGTTTGCGCTCAATCTGCCTGGCCAGATTCATGGCAACGTCCAAGCTTCCTGGAGCCTGAAACTCCAGTTCTAAACGGATTTCCTGACGAAGCCCTGCCATGAATGCGTTGACTTCGAATTGACTGGGTAATCCATCTACACGCGCCAACAGTTTTTGAAACAAACTAATATATTCCTCCACTGTCCCCGTTTGTTTGAGTTGAAAAAGATCTCCCGAAGGGTTGGTGCGTAAAGGTGGTCCAAAACGAAGGAGACAATTTTCAGAAAAGGTGTTCCACGATATACCTGCACGCAGTTTATCTGCCCAGAGTTGAGCATCGCATGTCATGTGAAAAGTAGCTAATCCGACACGTGCGATGGGGGCTGTCTGTTGATGTGAAAAAAATCGTTCACAACGCTTCAGCCAGCTCAGTGGGTCACTTGTACCATCATAGGTAGGAAAATCGAGTTTGGAATAGCGGGGCAGAATAGCTACTGACTCGAGTGTGATGTTCGTGAAATTCCCTATGATCACCATGGGATCCGGAGGGGCTGTTACTGTTGGAGTCAGTATGTGGGCCTGCAGATTTACTAGTCAGGGCGGCAAGTTGCGTGGAAAAAAATGTAACGAGATCTGTAATTTTTGCCTCAAGCGATCCTTGTCGCTGGTTAATATCTGCCATGAAGGTTTTGAGTGTCTCTGCGGTGATGTGCTCGTTCCCCATCGTTCTGGATACTGATACCAAATTGTTAAGGGCCTTGGTACAAGATCTAGTCCAAGGTCGATGCTTCTGAGAAGAACAAGAAAAATATGAATCTATGGTGCCTGAAATATTAATCGACTCCCGCCCTCGGCAAGGAGTTTGTCGCAGGTTCCACCGTACGCCAAATAAAATTAATATTCCAAAGTTAATCTCATTAATCCAACTGATAAGCCTTAAATAGGCTAAAGACAAGTTTCCTAAAACAATAATAGGAAAGAAGTAATACAGAAGCTCCTAAACTAGTATAAGGAAACCTGAATAAATAAACTCAAAGTAGGAAACTGATTTAATTAATTAAAATAGACTCAAAGTAGGAAACTGATTTAATTAATTAAAATAATGAGGACCACTCAAGCTGGTCCCTTCTTTGACCGCCTCTGGTAGACTGCCAAATCGACCCATATCACCATCATTTTTATTTATACTGATTCTACCATAAGTGGGTTTTGAATCAAGTTGACTGTTTAATGGAGAAAAATTCTTGTACGAGTTGACCTGAGACTGACATTGTTCCATACCATGCCTATTGAATTGAGAATATTGTGGTAGTCATGTCAAACTACTTAATGCTTCCCCAGATTTTTGGATTTGATGTAATACTTTGTGTGGCTTAGTCCTTTAACAATATGTATACCATCCAGGAATACATTGCTCATGGCACCCAAGATCTGTTTACACAAGCTGGATATAATGATCTTTCACGAGATGATGCTTCCTCACATAACCACTTCGGCATGTCCAATCCCAGCACACTTCAGTCTCAGGTATATCCGTACGTAGTATAAGAATTGTTATTGGTTAAAACCTTTATAACCTTCCTAGAGCTTTTTATGTATTATACTATTATCACCCTTTTAAATTAAGAATCCTATAATTTGTCTGATTAAAATTTAACGCTTTAATTTGATTTATAATTATACATACTCCCTCCGGATTTTTTTAAACTTCACACTTTCCTTTTAGGGACGGTCCAAAATAAACTTCACACTTACTTATTTCCTTATTTGGCAAAGAAATCTACATCAAAAAGTGTCTCAATAGTGCCAAACAGTGCGAAACAGTGTCTCAACAGTGCCAAACAGTGCCAACAGTGTCTCAACAGTGTACAGTAAAGTCAAATTTATTTTATTAATCAATGTGAAGTCAAACTGTGAAGTTTAAAAAGATCCGGAGGGAGTATTTTATACGTAGTATTATGTAATTTCTAATTGGGAAAACTATCAAATAAGCCCTCGTACTATACCGAAAAAGTCGATTAGGCCCTCGTACTTTACAAACACTCAAATAAGTCCTCGAACTATTAAAAAACGTTCAATTAAGCCCTTTTGGTCGGTAAGTAACCGGTTTCCCGGTTAAATGTAACTTGTTTCCCGGAAGCCGCCATTGCTGGGGTTCGAGCACATCGTCGCCATCGTCGTCGTTTAACCGGGAAATCGGTTACTTACCCACCAAAAGGGCTTAATTGAACGTTTTTTAATAGTTCGAGGACTTAATTGAGTGTTTGTAAAGTACGAGGGTCTAATCGACTTTTTCAGTATAGTACGGGGGCTTATTTGATAGTTTTCCCTTTCTAATTTAGTCAGAGTTGACCGGGTTAACCTAATGTTGACCAGGTTGACCCGTGGCTCGGTCACTTGCTCGGGTCAGCTCCAGATCCGGTTTTAGAACAAAGCTTTAAACTGCGTTTCTCTTTTTCTAGTACACAAGCACTTTAACGAAGCACACTAACTTTTATCACTTTTCTTTAAAACCACTACAACCTATTACTCCGTACTATTTATCAGTATTAACATATTCTCTAATTTAACTTCTCAAAAGTAGAAGCTATGGCAATCACACCCTAAGTGCTTGAGAAAGCACTGATGATAACAACACTTATTCCATCAGTTATCCTAAGGACTGAATCTGCCTCTGCTGTTTATTTTGGCAATTGATTTTTTTTCTTGGTAATATTATGCTTTTGACTTGCTTTCAGGGTTTAATGAATCCCCTCTACTCCCATCCATTTGGGCACTATAACACACAACCCATGACAGTAGAAAATTCCCAACCTCAACAGCAGCAAGCTCCTCAAGGCCAGGTCTCACAAAACCAGAAGCTTCATTAAAGCAGTTGAGGGTGACATTATTTCTCTCCGTGAAGGGGTTATACTTTTCGCATCCAGCTACTCATTTTGTGCTTGTCATGCGGTCGTGCCTAGTATGCAATAAAGAGGGTATTGCCAATAAATTGAGTTTGGTCGAGAACAGCTCTTCAAACATGATGATTGTACGTAGATCATCAGTTGAGAGATTTACAAGATGGAAAATGATGGGATGATCGATGGCAGCAGAAGAGGAACTGTGACAGAGGAAGATAATACCCCTTCATCAACAATATTGGGGAGTTCTATTTTAGTGAAAGAGATGTTAAAGTGGCGGTGCAGTCTTGGAGAGAGTATTTACATAAGCGGAGGAATTGCTGGAAAGATGGCAGCTGTTTGGAAGCAGAGTTGGTGTCTATACAACCTTATTTATACGAGGAATTCCTTAGAACAGGACCTCTGTTCCTCCCACTCTGTATGTATTTGTACAGCATGCCGGGATAATAAGTTTTGCAGCTCCTTCGACATGTAATTACACTCTTCTACCTATATAAGCAATAGATGATGACGATTCTATTTAAGGCGTTAGCCAACAGCCTAACGTACTTTATTAAGGCACTGTTCTAAAAAACATCTAGCTAGAGAACTTTTTTTAGCCTTGGTTAAGTTGGTTTAAAAAAGCTAGACTTTCAAACTAAGTACTTCTATTTAATTTAAGCACTTAAGAGCTAATACTCTAATAGCAAAGATATGCGTTTTATTGTTCTAAAATCTAAATTGCTTTCGCTTTAGTGTTCAATCTTTTTAAGCGGACGTTTCAATTCTCCAGTCCTTGTGACAAAAATAACTCTGCGAGCACAAAAAAAAATTTCCATAAACGATCAAGATAACATTACAATGTGAAAGAAAGCACTTGCGATTAGCGAGCATAAAAAACAAAATTTCCCATCAACGATAAAGACATTAAGGCTAACTGCAACCCAGCTCGTCAATATATCTAATCTAACACCAGTTTATACGTATTCACTCCGTCAATTCAGTTTTTTTCTGCAACCCGGACCGTCAATATATTCACTCAACACATTCTTTTTTAGTTAAATCCTTACTTTTATTCTTATACATAAATTTTTTTGCAAATTATATTTTTGCAAATAATTATGTAAAAATAAATAAATTTGGACTGAAATTTTTAACAATGAGATCTATTTTTGAAAAATACTCCCTCCGGTCCCAAATGAAATTTACACTTTCCCTTTTGGGTAGGTCCAAAATAAACTTCACACTTCTTCTCCCTTCTTTATTTGGCAAATTATCTACATCAAAATAGTGTAAAACAGTGTAAAACAATGCCAAACAGTTCCAAACAGTGTCACAACAGTGTACTCTACAGTAAAGTCAAATTTATTTCCTTAACTTGTGTGAAGTCAAAGTGTGAATTTCATTTGGGACCGGAGGGAGTAATAATTTAAAGATATAATAAAAAAAATATTTTAACAATGAAATCTTGATTTTAACTTTATATATGTGATATTGATGTTATATGAAAAATCATAAAAAGTTATGAATTTTGATATATTATTTATAAAAATTCGATCATTCATAAAAAAGTTAAACCATTTTAAAGAAATTTGGGGTTTTGAGTTTTTATGCAACCCATTTTTTTCTTTTGGTGCGCACACCAAGTGCAGTTCCTTTTCTCTCTCTCCAGTCCCCAGAGAGTGGATCCGGCGTCTAAATCCCCACTCCCATAGTTTCCCCGATCCACTTTGAGACCCTACTATACTGATTTTGGCTTGGGTTGCAGCTGAATTTGGAGTGAAAACCTCAGATTTGGGTTTGCATCCTCTAGCATTGCGGACAGCCTAAGCAGATTGACCATTTTCATGAATCATGATATTAACGACCGTGTCTAGGGATGGACCCGGGCCGGTCCGGTTCCGGTTCCGGGCTGGGCCCGGGCGGGCTTCTTTTGCAAATCCTTGGGCCCAGAACCGGCCCGGGTTGATACCGGGTACGGGCCTAACCGGGTCCGGGCCTAACCGAGCCCGGTTCAATGTCTAATTTTTTTTTGCTTTCTTGTTATCCCTCGACCCCCCCCTCACCCCACCCCCAAACCTCTCCAAAACACCCAGCTTTACCCTAGAAAAAGAAAAAAAATTGAAAAAAAAAATTGACCCAGGCCCGGCCCGAACCGCCAGAGTCACAAAAACATTGTTTTAAAATGAAATTGGCAAAGTTTGTTGGGATAAACAAAAAAGGAAAGTTGGCAAAGTACAGGAGGGAGTATGATGAATGTAAAGTCATTTTTTTTTTTTAAATGAGATAGGGGCACCAATGATGAAGCTATCATTGATAGGGGCCACCAATGACCGTAGTCCAGTGCCACGGAGATTCAGACCTTCAGGGGTAAGCAGGACATGCTTTGTGTTATGGTAAACGGGATTGGAATTTTATCGGTATACACTGCTTTCAGTTCTTAATGGATTCCATCTTTAGCTTACTTGAATTTTAGAAGTATTTGGATTAGTCTATGCATGCCATAACTTGGAGGGATTATGACCGAAATTGTATTCAGTTTAGTCATATTCTGGACAGGGAAGGATCAAGGATTTTGAGTTTAGGGGGCGAAAATTTTCGTTAGTGTTGGGGGTAAAAATATTGAGAAATTTATCCCTCGTATCACTAAAACTTAGTGTCATGATTAATCTATGACTACTTGCTAATTTTTCCTAATGTATGAGTAGTTTGTAACCGTAGGACTAATAACTGCATGCGCATAACCACCGGAATCATAGCTGCGTAGTCATACGGAAGATAAAAAAACACATTGAGTCATATTTTGGGAAAACTCATGTGTTTTAGTATTATTTAGGTTTTTTTCCCAAAAATATTCACTAGTGTAACAGGGCAATGTTTTTTTTGTTAGTATAGCGGAGCGAAATTCTTTCACTGGTGTAAAGCCCTGCGGCTGTTTTTATTCAAAAAAATTCATTAAGACATACACGATGACATTTAAATCTAAATATTACATTCTGATTTTAGACAATGACAAGATAAGTAAATAACTTTAATTTTATAATTGAAGTGCTCTAGAAAACAATATTGATGCATTAGAGTGAAAGTAATTGTAAATCAAAGGAACAAGTGCTTAAATAATTTGTGTAATTTAATGTGAATAAACATCTGTGTTTTAGATTCATTTCACATGATCTCAAAATTGTGTAACTAGTGTGTCTGTAATTTAATATCGTTTGATATATATTTTCCAAAATGAATACTAGTTATCTAATAAAGATAAATAAACATTACTAAATTAAGAATTTTTATATTATAAGTGTCCTAAATCCTAAACAATGAGTTGTTCCATTGTTTATTTAAGTTATGCAAATTATTTTAGATGTTTCTTCTTTTAAATCTCTAAAAAGGATTGCCTTATGTTAGACTATATATTAATTTTGAAAACTAAAAGTTAAGGATGACGAATCTAATTAAAGTATGAAAATTTTACGAAAATATTACATATATACTAGAAAATTTTGAAAGTCCAAGGGGGCGGTCGCTCCTCCACCCCCACCCCCCTAAATCCATCCCTAGCTCTGGATACCAATTCAAAAAGATGGGACATCTGTTTGGTTCGTTGCTTACTTAGAATGTTTTTTTGGACTATTTTCAGTTCTATACCATACCAGATCAGACCAGACTCAAACAGATCAGATCAGATCAGACTTCGACAGTTATAAAATATATAGAGACCAAACATTTACCAGACCAGACTACACTATACCAGACTTAAACAGACCAGACCAGATCAGATCATCAAATTTTTGTGAAAAGAAAACATCATTAGCTACATTCCAGTCCAATTCTCAAAGTCGGTAAAGTTGAGAATAGTATCTTACCTATATTGAGATAGAACAAATTGGCGGTTTTGAATCAGGATTAAAGTTAGGAACTAGTTAGAATTTTATTGAGTTAATTTAAAGTAAGACAAACTAATCGTGAGCTGTGAATCTCGCATACCCTTGATAGACAAAAATTACAATTCAAAAATTAATTCTTTATTTTACTAAGATTCATGTATTTTTTTGGAAGACTAAGATTCATGTAGTTTAAAAGGCAGAAATTATTTAAAGAATATTAGTGAACACGTACTGTTTAAACTCGAAAAAAGGATCAGATACACCCTCCTACAATCGCAGATTGGTCACTTAAGCCCATGTACTATAAGAATCATCATATATACCCATTTACTTTCAAAAACAATCAATTGAGCCAAAATACCTTAAAATACCTAAAGATGACCTTTGATAGCAGGTCATCATTTTTATCTATCATATTTTTTTGGGAAAAGGTGCAAATAAGCCCTCGAACTGCCCAAAAAAGTGCAAAATCACCCCTTTTATAGGAGGCTTTGTCCGGCCGTCGCCATTTGCGGCGGTTCCCGGTGGAATCTTTTGATGAATTTGTTTGAGCATCTTCTTCATTAAGTTTCGTTTACTAAAATATATTGCGCTATTTAACTGCGCAGTTATCTTCAAACATTTATTTGACTGCCTTTCCGATTGAATGTTTAGCTGAAATTTGGTATGAGTAAACTAGACTTAATGAAGAAGATGCTCAAAAAATTCTTTTGGCAAGCTTGCATTGATCGTTTACCGTGCAAACAACGCTTAGTACAACGGAGAGTGCTGGTGCGGCTGCGATGTGCAATATGCGGTCATGAGGAAGAGAGTTCTTTACATATCCTTCGGGATTGCACTTTGGCTAAAGCAGTGTGGCATAGTAGGGGCTGGAAATTTCTTCAACTAGCAACTGCTAGTTTCGGTGAGTGGGCAAGTAAGGTGGCAGAAAGTAGCTCGAAGGCTGATTTCGATCAGTTTATCATGGCTACCTAGAGTTTGTGGAAAGCTCGTAACGAGAAGGTTTGGAAGAAATTAAATCCAAACTGGAAGGGAGTTATCACCTGTGGCAACACTATGCTAGAGGGGTGGCAGGAGGCACAACAATTCAAGGTCCAGTCGTCCAGGAACGGACAAAAAAGGAGCAGAGAGGTAAATGACAGGCTCCGGATGGGGGGTTAGTAAAAAAAAATGTTGATGCTTTTGTACCAATCGAAGAAGATACGAGAGGATTGGGTCTGGTTGCTCGAGATAGCCATGACCAGTTTTTAGCAGATAAAAATATAAGAAGATGGGGACGTTTTCAGCGGGGACGGCAGAGACACTGGCAATCGAGGAAGCGGTTCGATGGGCTAAGGAGCGGGGATGATAACGGATCGTCGTGGAATCAGACGCTCAACATATTATGCAGGGGCTTCACAAAGGGGATGACATTAGTTATAATGATATTATTTTTCTAAATATTAGACATATGATAGTTGAGTTTACTAATATAAGTGTTCAGTATGTGCACCGTTCAACGAATCAGCCTGCCCATATACTTGCTAGGGAACCCTGTTCTGGGTCTGTCGATTTTTGGATTGATAATCCACCTGATTGTATTGCCTATGTCTTGAGACATGGTATGAATGAATGAAATTATTGGATTTTCAAAAAAAAAAAACTAATATTCTAATTGGTCCATGGATAATGTAAGATACCCCAAGACATCGCATTATTTTTCAATTTGGTGCAGTGAATAGATTAATTGAAGTAATTTTGTAGATATTTTTACACGAGTATATTCTGTAGGAGAATATATGCTACATGAAAAATGAATTAAGCTTTCGTATTGAAAGCATAGTTTTACGATGTGTTT